ATAAACAAATAAATGTTTTATTCCCGCATAAAAAAAACTCAACATGAGAGAAGCCAGTTTACAGGCTTCATCACGTTGGTACATCTCAAAATGTCTACAAGACTACGAGTCCTGAGAGGTGCAGGCAGAATGTCACTAAACTCCATCAGAAACAGCCGAGGATCCTGCTGGTTATGAAACGAACAAGGAAATATCACTTTTCAGCGTATACAGAGTGTTAAAGTTCAGATAGTAGCAAATACTATCCTCATATAATGGGTTTAACATGAGGGATACCAGCTTACAAGCACCGTCAAATTCATACTTTTTGAAAGTATACAAACTGGTATTTAGCAATAAATAATTCATATATCAAGCCATCAGTGTGCATGATCTTGTTGAAATTTGCTGAAGTTCATGAAACGGGGATGGATTTTCATTTCCCATCACACAGATAGGTTCCACTATCAATATCAAAAGCACTCAGTGTTCGAAGCTTGCTTTATGACCAACCAACGTTACTAGTCCATCTACACAGTCTGCTATTCAGTAGCGTAACAGTCTATTCCTTAGAGTGATCTTCAGTTTTTAGCTTTTCTAACCACAAAGGACCCATTTATACAATCTTGAGCATCAATAAAGTATCCACAGTTAAGTAACCAAAGTGTATGTTTGTATCAATGCATTTCTAGGTAACCATGTTACGTTTAAAGGTAAAAGAAATCGATTCCACCAAGAATATTTGTTGAATTGGATTGATTTAGACGTTGAAGTGATCAGTAGTCCAAATGGCGGTATTTATACATAGACTTCGGGTATATTTTGCATTGGCGTAGGCAGCATCATTCAAAGGGTGTATTTATTGCATATCCACAAGCTGCATGCTCGTAAACTTACTAACCCCTTACTTGGTCGGATCAAATCTTCTCTTTGTAACCTTTCCCAAGTTGCGAAAATCGGGTTCCAGCCTTCCAGACCTAGCTCCATAACTACTGGTATGGTTCAGGATAGCGTGCTCAGCAGTCTTCCTTCCACCCTCTATGTTGATGACCTTTTGCGAATGCTTTTCGGTTAGTAAACCGTTTTTGTTTGCTGATGACCTAAAGCTTACATACAGACTCTCACGTGATGACCTGTTCTACTTCCAAAGGCTGGTACAGTGCGACCTGGACCTGGCAGCCACTTGATCCATCGCATGGAACCTCTGATCCAGCTTGGAGAAGTGTTGCTGGATATGCTTTGGGGCACCTTCTATTCGCCTACAGTTGTCTCTGCAGACTGCAATGCTACGCAGTCTGGGTAGCCTTCTTGGCTTAAGGCTCCGCTACCCTAACGATCCGTAAGTCCAGAATACCACTGGGCTGTATAGTTCTTACCTTTCATAGCCACGAAGCCAAACTACTGCTATACGAAGCATGCATTTGACCCCCGTCAGAATACTGTTCGTTTATTTTGGGGAACACGCGTATAGACGACAAACTTAAGATTGAAAGTGAGCACGGGTGCTTAACATCCAGGTTACTTGGTTACGAATGTGGTCGGGATTATGCTTCCTTTAATCTGCAACCACTTTGGATGGAATGTCTTGAGATTAACGTTGTACGTTTCTTCAGGATTCTACTTAAAATATCCTTTGCAGCTAATGAGGAAGTCTGTTTCATACCGGAAAGTTGCTACAGTCTTCGCAGTCGAACCTGGTTTTAAAGCAAAAGCCCCTAGAGCATCCCTCTTGGCTAACTTTTTCTCGATGAAATACTCGAAAATATGGAACCACCTTCCATCTGACATCAGAGTTTCCAGTTCAACTACCCAGTTTAGCCGTATGTTAGATAGATTCTTATCCTCCGGTAAACTCCGCAACACAAAGAGCTGATGAAAACTATGTCCAACAGCGATCACCATAATAGGCCCCTTAAATGCATGTAGCATACCCTGACCGGTATATCCACACACTCTTCCCACTACACCCCAAGGAGAAGTTTGCAGCAAATCGGACCACTTAGGTAACTAAGTTGTCCAACTATACCCCCCAGCTATTACCATCACCCAGAGAGACATCTTCTGACGTAGGCCCTCAAAAGAAGCATTTTCAAAATGCAGTGAGTAGCATATTTTTAATCAGAATATACACGCGAAACCTAGGGCTATACATTGAATGGCAGGCATGACACCATGTCCACAAGTTAAAATTTGCATGCAATCAGCTTCTTTGTTCCTTGGTTGCCCACCCTGTTTTCTCCACTTTTGTCGCAAACAGAATCTTGGAAACCTGAAATTAGATTGGAATTACAACATTTCATCAATACTGTTCTTAAATATCACTGTATTCGTCTGCAAGCGTCTCCTCCGCAATCGTGCAGCCTGCGCTGAACATCCTCATGGTATCACAAAAAGAAACTGCCATGAAGCCTCTTGGTATTTATTGATCCGTTGTTTAACCTACTGGAGCATCGGATCATGGCGATTTATGATTCTGTGGGATCATCACAACATCAAGGTCAGACAGAACGGGAAGTAGTTCTGGGCAAAACATGCCCAGGATCTTGGGGCAAACCCCGAGAACCTTTATGGATTCATGGCGGAGATAAAATCTGCTAGAGGGGGCATCTGAGTTGTATGAGGTCGGAAAGCAGAGAATCTGTCTGGGGTAGAAACTGCCAAAACCTTAAGCCCCATCTTCGACACGGAATGAAAAACTCTGTCATCATGCCAAAATTACATACTGCCAGAGCGACCCCACCAACACTCAATGTAGAAGGGTTGAGTGGGACACCGGTAACCCATGCTATGGTCCTCGAGTCACTGCTAAGGCTCCGCGGAGGAAAATCACTGGGATGCAAGGAAATTCAATAGTCTATGTAGAAACATTGTCCTGATGCTTTATGCGTTGCACTTCGTGACTTGCTTCAATACTCCTTAGACAAAACCGTGCTTCAACGAGATTCAAAATTTGCTATTCTCCCTCCGATCTTCAAAGAACGGGGCAGACAGAACCCGAAACGCCATGAACCTATGGTATTCCTGCCAATGCCGTCGAAAGTAGCGGAGAACCTAGCAGACAACAAAGTCAGGGGTCCCTTTGGTAAGGGAGACCAAATGGGCATGCCCAAAGCAGTTTCTCAGAGGGTAGGTCCTGCCCATCAAACCCTCCGAGAGCCAATGATAACCGGACTGCCCGCTGGGACCAACGGGTGCCTCTTCATCTAAGTTTCCTGGATTTCGCCAAGACCACACATGGAGTCTCACGTGCCATTCTCATGTGTAAAATATCAAGGTTGGATACCAGTGAATAGGTGCTCTTTTAGCTGTAGGACTACTTTGACGGCAGAAAATTCTGTGCAAAAGCCAATGTGAATCAGCCCATCAATCGACCTGGAGCCTCACTCTCTAACTGGCCACAGGTTGCTTGGTGACTTGATGGCAGATTACAAGACACTAAATAATCCAATTCACTTGAGCAGGAAAATTCCACCGAACGGTAGCTGTGGTAACCACCGTGGTAAACCCAAGAACAGTCACCTATCAACAAGCGGAAACCCACAGGCGCTCATGCTTTTCCGCTGAGCAAGTTTGCAGCCACTGAAAACGCATCGGATACCGAGTTTGGTTCCGCTCAGTCTGTCGACAGCTTCAAGAATAGTTTGAACAGTTGCGCGGCGAGGCACGGCTCGTGCTCATCCAACTGGTATGCGGAATAATTCAGTTCAACCAACCTATTCCGATTCGTTCCAGCACAGGCAAGCCCATACAAAATCTTCTGTACTGCCACTAAAGTCGTAAACTTCGCTCAGCATTGCACTTCCTTGTTGAAAATCTCACCTATTGTTGCTGTGCCCCACTGTAAATAGAACTGTAGCGTCACACACTTCCACAAAATCAATAGCCTAGGGTTTGACGACTTCGACATTGATGCTGACCTCGATAGTTTAACTGGACTCGCTAAGCTGAAGGCACCCGGTCAAGCATACTCGCCATTTGGCACGCTGTCGTGTTACGTTGCATTGCTCGTATTCGACTCTCTAGCCAGTTAGTTGGAACGCATAGGTATTTTGGCATAACCATCCAAATATACTATTCCATCCGACTACGCTATCGTGTTCTTCCTTGGTCTCGTATTCGTGGGTATATAACAAGTCCGAATAATTAGTGATTGGTCTTTGCGTCTGTCAGTTCGCACCAGGATAAATCCTAAAGAGCTATTAGTATTCCCATTTCACCTCCCATATTCTTACTTGCTCCCGCTCTTCTCACTGATTCTACTGAGGTTCTCCTCACTGTAGTTCTCTGTCCTGTCTTCCCTCAGTCTACTTAAGCTTCTCCTTTTCCTTCACTGTATTTCTTTTCGATCACTTTTCTCTCATTCCCTCTCCCTCTTACTCGCTGAGCACCTCATCCTTTCTATCCATCTTTGTAACACTAGTTAAAACAAGTGTCTGGTGACATAAAATTTGGGGGATCTATGTGCCTTACACACTTCATGGATGGTTCATACGACAAAAAACGTGATCAACACCGAACCACCCGTCAGGTATACCAAAGCTACAGCAGACGTGCTGGCAGACCAACTGAATTGGAACCCACCAAGGAACTGGAACTGTTTCGCAATAACTAGAAGCTGGCACGAAGAAACTAATCGGTAAATACAAGCCGGCAATAAGATTTACGATAATGGATGGGCTCACTTGGAGAGTTTTCTCATACTATATTCCATCATATTGGTTGACCTCCAGGTTCTCAGTTGGTATTCAGCATAAAATGACATCACTTGGCTGGTTGTCACCGTCATTTGAGCGAGAAAATGATCCTTATCTCTGAATTCAGTATTTTTAGTCGGAATAATAATCATTCCAATGAGGTTGTTTACAAATATGAAGAACTGCCAGATCGGGCTATAAGGAGGAAAACGTACAGACTTCTGCTGCTGTAGAAGGATTACAGCTGAACAAAAAGAACCTAGCCTCAGGACCCAGAGGCTAAAGCCCAAAAACTACAAGTTTCCTAGCACTATATATGTTGGATGTTGGGCACGTAGCCTGCACGCGCCTCATTTGAAGTTAAGCGCTACTCCCAGTATGTCGTCGCTTCCCAATTCTTCTCAAAACACCACCTCTGCCTCTGACATGGAGAGTGTGTACAAATGGGTGGCATCACTTACAAGTTTAGAAACACGAGAAAGTGCACTGCTTGAATTATGGTATGCTGTCTGTTTAACTGTAGCCTTAAATTCAACGTTGAAGCAAAAAACGGGAATCTGTTCCTGAACTTGCTCCACTGCTTTGGCATTCATGTGGTTCCATCGCTGCTTTGTTACAAGAAATATGTGCAATTTACCCATACATCAATCCACCTAACTTGAGCGTAAGATTCTCGATTTTTAACCATTATGTATATATATATCCAGTTGGTATTTTGGTGTGTTGGCTGGTTATATGGTATCGGTCGGAATTCCCATGCGTTTCTTTGTTCCTTATCTGGTTTCACTTGGAAATTAAGGTGAATGAATATACGACAGGATCCTATCACATCACTTTTTGTGACTGCACCTGAGACCTCCTAATGCGTCCTACAACCATCGATATGTGACCAGAGGGTCTTGTTAACTGCATGCAGTTACCACTGTAGTTAGTGGCATTCCCAATGTATTAGGGGTGCATTATACCATGTAACTTGCGTATTTATTCAGTTAAGTAAAACGAATGGCATTGGTGTAGAATTATGATCAGGCTCTAACCTAGCTTATACCCGAAGACAGTATCAAAAATGCCGATTTGTGCTGTTCGATAGAAAGTTTTTGCTTCAACATCATTAGCATGCTTAAAGAAATTCCACTTACATACTCTTGAAGGTGTGTTTTCATCTAACTTTGAAGAGACAAAACGTTTTGGCTCATTACTCGCTTAGACTTCTTAGTATACAGTTAAAGCATGTGTCCTTAACTGAATATATATTCTGGTTAGTACAACAAGTGAGAGCTCAAACGTTATAACCTATTGCTGAATAAGTGTGTCTTATGGTTAGTTTTAGATAAGCTTAGTTTCTGTGAAGTGGAAATTGACACTTCTAACTGATAACTGTGATTTACCGGTAAAATACCTGTTGCTGTGTGATATCCGGACGTACAATTTGTTCTAACCGTACTGGCAGCAGTTCGTAGTCAGTCACTAAAGGTCACAGACTCATACACTAGGTGTCAGACTATTATTTCCATATCATGGCTCATACATTGAATGAGCTGTGTGTTGGCTTAATACAGAGTATTAGACTATTGGAATACTACGTTTTGATCTTAGGCATCTTCGTAGCGTTGCCTGCGTTTAGCGGAATCACCGTCTAAGCAATGTTGAAGTGCGGCAAAGGGTACTAAGCAAGATAGGCAAATCTATTGATGAGGTTGTAAACCTTTTTCGACTGAGATGGCTTGGGGATGTACTGCGCATGCCCTGCCGCCGCCTACCTCGACGTGCATGCTCGTGAAAGTTGGATTAGGTTGGAACAGGGTTCAGTGTGGCGAGTTCAGGATGTGGCACCTATCGACGAAGTCTCATTGTTGGTCCTAGCGCGTGGGAAGATGTAGACTACTTGGCTGAGGTCCTAAGATGATAGGAACCAGTGTTTGAGGACTCTCGTTGACATGGCTGAAAATCTGTTACAATGTCGCAGATGTATTCGCTCCCTGATATCTTCTAAAGCTTGAACATTCGCTCTAACTTTTATCTTCAAACTGGTTATTCTTTCAAGAGACTTCGTATACTTTGGTATCAGTCTTTCTGTTTACTTATTCTGTGTGGTTCTGTAAAGTGTAGCGACGTGAACCAATGTACTTGTGTGCGAGGTTCTACGTTGATTCTGTCCGTCTGGATGAATACGTTTATTTCTTTTCTCTGTTGTTAAAAGGTGTAATGTTTTTATTCGAGTTTCTGCCTTGTTACTGCTTAACTAATGTCCAATACTGACTTTTTTATTACAAATTAAATGTACCTCAAACATCCCAAGAATTTATTCCCATTTGCCCTGAAATGCATGCACTTTTGATGACTCATGGTCTACATATAGGTGATGGGTGAAACCTTTTTCGGGTCGACAATTCGTTGACTGCTGCCGAGCTTGACACTTACATTAATGATCTAGCCGACGAAGTTAAGTGAGGCATATTAGACAGCAGAACTCACTGGAGCAGGCAAGAAGAAATAAGATCAAACCACATTTCATGTAATTCATCGGTATACAAGCATGAAGCAGCCTCATGATGAATAACTGACTGACTAAAAAACTGCATGACTACTACAGTTTATCTGCCACTTTCACACTTGTTTTCTAACCTAACTTTCCTGATATTTCTATCACTAAGCTTTGTTGGCTTTTTTTGAGAAACAAAAAAGCTATCGATAGTATCCATACAAGGTCTCATGGGTAGTAGACAATGTCTAGTTTCGTTGTTCAGTTTACAAAGTAAACCCTTCGGAACATTTTATGCCTATTCTGTTAGCCTGCGCTATCAATGTACCGTGAGGTTAAGGAAAACGGCATTCTTATTTAAAGTTTTCCGAGGCTCAGAAAAAGGTTAGAAAGCGTCTGTGGATGTAAACAGCTTAAGAAATAATGGATACGCTTGGATGTATTCACTCAGTCCCTGAGGAGCGGGAGCAGTTCAAGTGTAGAATGATGGGAAGTACGCAATGACCGTCAGCTGTGCTGGGTGGTGAAGGGTAAAGGTATGGCAGAAGCCGTGGCTACGGGTAATAGTAAACAGTTATCTAGACTTATCAGGGAAATCGGGGCAAAATGGTCAATGATTAGTGTGACTAGAGCGGAGAAGACTGGATCTTTGATTCACTCGCATAGGAAACAGATGGGAAGATAAATGGTACATTTCACGAGAAAGTTCAACTGCTATTCCATTGCTCGCTGTCCAGTCACATTCTGAATGGAGGGTTGAGGCAGGGCCTCCAACTTTTAAAAACGTTGTGAAGGCTGTAAGTTATTTGAAACGAGGAAGAGCAGCAGACCCTGATGGGCTAGTACTGAGATTATTTAGAGACGGTGATTGAGAATTATTGGTGAAGTCAACTAAATTGTTAGCTAGCGTATGAGAATCAGATGTGATTACTTCTCATTGTTTTTCTTCAAGAAGATACAGAAGTCCTTACGTGATAACCTCAGGGGAGTCAGTATGGTGAACATAATGTTTAAGATCCCAGCCTAAGCGAAACTCAAGAACCGTAAAGCTCAGGAAACAAGGCAGTTTCCAGAATTCTTCGTGCACTTTTCTACCAGATATTCACCTCCCACCAGGTATAAAACGGTGGGCACATACCGATGCCCGACACTGTGTATATTTCTTGACTTGAACGTGGCATTTGACTCCATCGATTAAGACGTCTTACGGTAGTGTCTCTCACTAAAACGGGTGACATAAGTACACCATTGCACAAAACCCTTTATAGTCGGGTGCCGATGTGTGTGTTATAACCTATGACGAGGTGCCAGGGGAGTTAAGTTCTTCGACTGATCTCCGTCAAGGATGTTTTTTCTCAAATTTTTCTATTGGCGTGCTTGTACACATACGTGCAGTAGGTAATGGGTTACACCTATTGTGTGGGGACTAATAGTACCTGGTTACCCAGATACCGATAAGTGGAGCTGAATTCGAACCCATAATTCGTTGGTTGGAAATCTAGGACCTACGCCAATTATCTTCGAAAATGCTTCCGTACTGGTTGACTTCGACACCTCGTTTGATAATTAATAGTGTTGTGATTGGGCGTGTTAACCACCGTACTTAGACAGACGGATCAGCAGCAGTAGGTAGGTGTCTGACAAAACCATTGCATTGGTTCAAAAGACTGTCCTGACTTTTCCTACATTACACCGGTGAGATGTCAGATTGCCTGGTAAAAGTCTAGTGTACTGTACAGTAGTCCACTCTGTTCTGTTTTGAGGGACAATTTAAAGATGAGTCGTCACAATTTACACCGTAGGAGTTAGGAAAAGGGGATTCACCTTAGTGTCTGCTCATCATTCTAAAACTTCTGCATTTCAGCTAAAGATTTAGCGTCGTTTCGATTTACTAACTTATCTTTTATCTATTACGTTCTAGGGTGCTTTTTTCTCTGAAATTGATGTGGGTATCGTTTTTACGGACTTGTTGATCTTTTGGTTTATCTACTCGACTTTCATACAGTAGATCGTAAATAAGGATATTTCTTGCTTCTACTGTGTTAGTCACAGCCTTCCTCGATCTCATTTTACTTGTTTCACTAGAAAAAAGTTGGCAAAATATCAGCATCAAAAAATGTCCCATACAAAATATAACATTAAAAGGACGTAAATGTGATATAGGTAGCAATGAAGACAGAAAACTGAGCCATGATCGCCAATTGTTTTGATCTGAAGTCATATTTGCATGATCTCGGACTTCATTCAGGTAGCAGTAGTCTGAGGATGTTTAGTATACGTTTCATACCCGTCAAATGTAAGATGATGCTCCAAGATTGGTCTGCAACTACTTCCAGCTTAACGATAGGGGAGTAAAGTGGTGGAATATGTCGACCACTTCACTTACTTGGGGAGTTGCATCACTTCGAATGAAGTGGTTGCTGACGTAATCTCAGCTCGGACACAGAAAGCTTGTTTGGCACTTGCCAACCTGCGTCACCTGTGGCGCCGATCTAACAAAGGACTGCTCTGCAGTTCATTCTGTCTTGTACGCCTGTGAGACATGGCCGTGAAGACACGAAGTGGTACACATTTCTGATCGCAGGTGTCTTCGTAGCATTGCTCGCATGTGGTGGAATCGCTGCGTGAGCGATATTGAGGTCAAGAAAACGATATTAGTCGCGAAAGGCAAGTCGATTAACGAGGTTGTTGTAAACTGTAGTCGTCTGAGATGAGTTGCATATGTACTGCGTGTGCTGAACCACCCCGTACCCTGACGTGGCATGGTAGAGGAAGTTGGATTAGATTGGTAGAAGGTCAGCCAGTCGTGGTTCACCAATGTATGCCAGCCCAAAGTAACTACCCTTTTTTCATGGAACCACGTCCAACATACTTTTGGCACCTATCACCATCCTCTAATTAGTCCGAGGGTTGGCAAACAATTAACGATGTTGTGTGGCATATACTCAAGCTAGCAAAACCTCCATTCCAAGTCAGAAACCATCTCATTCTCGAACATGTAACATCCTACCTAACCGCACTGTTGGTTTGCTATCATGGAGAAGGATGGTTTTATGCTTTCATTTCATCTCATGTCTGTTAGAGTGTAAGGGTGTCACCAGACTCCTCAGGTACACTCCTCTCTGACAGACACTTTCAAGTCACATTCCTCTCGAATAACTCCAATGTAGACCTTGTATCAAGAAACAATTTTTGATTCTCAATACATGTGACCGTGTGCTAGCGTCTGGCGTGCAACAAACAGGTGACCGACTAATCCGTGACCCAACGTGAACTTAGCCTATTACTCGCAGATCACCTTTCCCTGCTTGTTGCGTCTGTGAAGTATGATAGGAACCAGAATTTTAGACGCTACTGGTAACAAACTGATGTGTTTTTGATTTTCACATGCTTTACGCAGACCCTGGTCAAAGATAGGTTCCACAGAGACAGTTTGGGACAGTTTGCCATACGTTATCAAACAGTCTGGTCGTTTCATCATCGACATTCTCACCACCGTTTAAAAAGCTTGAGGTTTGGTTTTGTGTCTGAGTGCAGTACGCGGTTTTCGTATGTGGAGTTCCTTTCGATCTTTGGCTTGGGTCGGCATTAACTGACGATGGAAAGTGATACTGAAGTTGGCTAGCCTAACTGTCTTTCAAAGTACTCCTCAGCTTTTCAGTTGTCTACTTCATAGACCGTGTCACTGGCTGGAGACATTTTATTTCCAGTGGCTCACGAGCTGAAGCAGCCTCTGTTACTAGATATAAGGGCTGCTTACATCTCGCTCACATGGTCTTATAAGAAAGCATCGTGGTTTTTGCTTATATGCTAGGTAATGTGTTGCTTTAGTGACTTACACATTATACTCACTGACAACAGCTGTGCTAAAAGTTGATACTGGTTGAAAGCAGGTTTTGATTTGCACAGAACGGCAGAAAACGATCCCTGCTAACTAGCCAAACGACTCTTTTGCGACAGTAGCACTACTATATCCAGCGTATGCAGCTGGTGGGAATGGTGACTCATTAGGTGTTAGAACTCATCATTGATTGCATCCGGGCTGCAGTCCATTCGAGTATTTGCAGTCATTGTTTACTTTATTAGTCATATCCCACTCTAATCAAATCGTCTGACCTAAAAGTACAGACGACTGTCACTGGGGACGTAATTGAAAAAAGCAGCTTTATCTCTAGCACTTAGTGAACACCAGTACCAGGAAGACCGGCTACCGATGCCATTGGGTTCCTGGAAACGCATAGTGATAACTTTTAAGTTGGTAGGTAACGTTATTCGAAGCACTGCACTGGGATCTTGTACATGAGTCTCTAGCATGCAACATGCATCGATTGCGAGACTTTCAAGACTACTAACCAAGCTTGTCTGTCATCCCGATTTCATTAAAGTCCGTTGGTTAAGGCCAGCCAGCCTAAACAGTACGTATTTCGAATAGTTGCGTCAAACATCACGCTAAATGACAGCTCTGTAAAAACAACTGCTTAACTACTCAAGATTGTATAAGCCTACTAGAATTTAAACTAATGACTTAGTAGCTACGTGAAACTGCTACGCGAACACAAATTTGAGAAGGATAAGGGACAACCAATACAGTTCATATGTAAAAGTAACAACCATGGAGATACAATAAACTGAATCAGTGAGTCATACGTTCGTAATCCAGTAAATTTGCTTGTCACAAGATTTTATAAGCGCCCTAAGGTAATCTTTGCGATTGTCATCCTTTTATTTGTATTGGGGGTATGATACTGCCCAATTCAAAGCAACCGGTTATTTTAGGCCAACAGTCCTTAAGCTTTTGGCTTCAAATCTCATCCACAAGGTAACAGAGCGAAATCAGGCTGTGCGTTATCGTAGTCACCAGTGGCCAAATCAGCGCCGTATGCCTTTCGTCTGTTTTCAACTGTCCAGCTCATTTTCACTGGTTTGGAATCACGGTTTACCACCACCTGGGTGGTGGACTCTATATCCACAAATATGATGATAAGCGCCATACATTCGCTTTTGCACTCTCACTTTGTGGAAACACCACCAACACGTGAAAGTAGTAAAACTTCTTTAGCAGACACAGTATGCGCATATCCGTAAAGTAGTGTTTCTATCAGACAGATCAGGGTGTTCAGCTAGTTTTTAACGTAATACGAGAGCCTGTATCCAGTTTTTGATTGAATTTTTCTGCAGTAGGTGGCTTTTAGGCATTCACTAAGTTCTGAATTGTCTCTGTATGTTGTTGCTCATTGTCAGGCGGAAACTTCTATCCTTAAGCTGTTGTTCATCTCTACCTTGCTTTTGAATGACTTTTTATGTAGGTGATTATCCCCGTCATTTTATTGGTATCACGTGCGCTTATAACTTTTTTCTAAAGGGATCTCATCTCTGTATTCATCTTAATTCTTATAGGCTCATCAGTCCAATCGTGTTTGTAATGCACTGGCGCTTCTACAATGTTTGGCGTCTCATCCAGAAACCCGGAATGAATTTTTAAAGGCTAACATACCTTTGTACCTTTACACTTTTTTAAACACAAACAACCGAACACGCCCATTTGAATACTTACGGCTAACTAGCCTTGGAGTAATTGGTGCACTTGTTAAAGTAAGTATGTACCTAGTTGTTAAATGCTACGAGAAAATGAAGTGGGTGAAGTAATTGTTTGCAGTTATGTTTCCTTTAAATGCTCAGTATATGTATTGTCTACTTCATTTCTACAAGATAGTTGTATGTCATACTACAATAAAGGGCGCCATTTTTCATTCTTCGTCCACACAGCGTTGTGATTTATCCCGAACCATAATGAACAAATATGTAGCAGTAGAATTTTAATATACTTTAGTTTGTTGATAGCAAATCAGCTGGTAAGTAAGATAAACAAGGACTAATATAACAAAATCAGAAGCTATGTAAAACCTAACAGAGAAAAAGCCAATGTAGAACCTTGCGCAGCAGTTCATTTTTTCAACTTGTCAAACTACATGGCAGCATGCAAATAAAAAGTGAGTAGAAAAACACTGATATTGAAGTAGACAAACATATATGGGAGGCAAAATAATTTGAAAATGAAGGATAATGATTATGTTCAAACTTTAGACGTCAAGAAGTAAAATACATCTATGCCATTGTGACCAATTGTCATGGAGGGTCTTCAACTATTGATTGCTGTCATCTCGGGGGCCCCAGACACCTCCTGTACAGCCTAGACCAACAGCCAAAAATTCATGGATTGATGTCATGTCCTGTTCTGGCCACTCTTAGTTTCCTTCCCCTCTTATCTAACTTCGGCTAAGATTTCATGTCGAGCGGTGTATCGGCATGTGCAATATATATCCAAATCAACTCAGTCGGTGGAGGTTCACAACCTTATCAACTGACTTGCATGGTTTGTTTAATAACTTCCTCCTAACCTCGAAACTACTCACACGGCAATTGCGCCATACTTAAGCCGTGCTACAAAATCATCTCTGGTCACACACATCTTCCACCTTCAATGACCATGCTGCACAGCCGTATAACAGGACATCACGGAATGTAGTGCAGTATACTCGTCCTTTAATAAGCAGTCGGATATCTCACCAGCGCCGGCGATGACATACGTCAGCAACTTCCAAACGAGTTTTCTGTATCCGAAATAAAATTTCGTCAGCAACCGGCTTGTTTGAGCTGCTACAGCTCCCCACGTAAGTAAAGTGCTGATCATATTCCACCACTTTACTTCCTATCATTAAACTGGGAGTGGCTGCAGCAAACCAGTCTTGAAGCATCATCTTACATTTGACAGGTGCGAAACGCATTCCAAACATACTCATATCTCTGCTCAAGGAGTACAGAAGACCCTGTATTTTATCAGGGTTAGCGTCTTCACCTAACAGGAGAATTTGGTCAGCATATTCTGGGTCGAATAGATACCCTCCGGGGTTATACCCAATAATACATCTGTAACAAAGTTGAACAGGAACAATGACTGTGGGGATACCTGGTGGACATCACTAGTTGTCATTAATTTAGGTAACAACTCCTTATTAGAAACGTGGGTTTGGATAGAGAGTTTTGATTAACGTTACATACTTGCTTGGTACTCCCTCCACAACACATCTCAATTGAAAGAGTCGAACGCCGCCTTTAGGTCGATAAATATGGCAGGTTTCAACCACCGGTAGGTGTCCCTGACGAAATATAAAAATCTGACCGATGAACCCTCGCCGTGGTTTGAAACCATTTTTTTCCCTTGAGTTTGCCATCCTCTAGCTTCAGTTAGCCATCGAATTACTATAGACATAAGAATCATGAACTCGATATTAGTCAAACTGATTCCCCTGTAGTTGTCTCCTTTCCTATAAAATAGAGAGAGGACTACATCGAATTCTGATATACTAGTCAGCAACTCTGGGCCAATATCTACTTCCCGCCTAGGTTCGGACTGCATGCTGTGCAATTGAAGCGTTGCTGTGGGTCAGCTGAACTGTGCTTCAAAGTGTCCCGCCCAACCTTCTAGCCGTCTGTCCTAAAAGGTTTTCAGCGTCTCGTCCTTTCCGATGATAGCCTTCTTCTCGGTTTCCCTTACAAGCTTGTGTAATTACTGGGTATGGCCTAATACTGATGGCTCCTCTTGCTTTTTCCACCTACCGCTGCTCGCGATTATTGCGAAAATTCTTAATCAGTTCACTTTTAAGGTGCTTTCGCTCTTCCTTGTGGTCAGAGCCAACTGGAGTCAGTCTCCTTGCATAAATCAGTCCAGGTGAAGTTGCAAAAGTAAGTCCACTAGCTTCTCTAACCTTTGGATGTAGGTTGCCAACTGTCTTTACCTTTGTTTTTACAGCAGACTGAGCAATACACCAGGCTTCGTGTGGGGGAGAAATGGTGCCATGTGCCAGGTAAATACTCGTCTACCTCTTTTCTAAGTAAACACCTGACGATATCTTCCAATTAAGCATTAAGAAGCTTCACTATTGTCTGTTCTCTGCGGCCAGTAAGGTGCAAACATACAAGTGACTGTGCTGATGCATGGTCGGAGTGGAAGCAGGCATTCCATAAAGCGGGGGTTTCCCCACCGACGTTCTCTAGCAATGGCTTTTAGCAGTATGAATTATCTTTATCCACAGTTGATGGGATGTCAGTGGACGCCAAGCGAGGCAGTATCTCATGCTTGAAGGTAGTGCTGCTCAGAAAGAAATCATCGTCAGGACAGAATCGCAAGTGACGATCACCGTTACTGGTTCGTTGGCATAGAATTCCGTACATACCTCCAAGATGCCTTTCCGATCGGCTCAGCTTTCCTGCTTGAGAGTTGAAGTTGCCTGCTACTATAACAGTAACTAAACGATTTATTTTGTTGATCAAAATTGACAGCTTTTGATAGAGGTCACCCTTTACATCATCTGAAGTGCAGTTGGTTGCATAGACCGATATTACGAATAAGCATCACCTAGTCTTAAAGTCCTTCCTAGTTCTTACAGATTCATTCCGTCGAAAAGCACGCCGGCGGTTGTTAACTTGTGTCTAGTCTGGAAGTGCACTTCCTGATTAGGATACTAATGTCATACCTACACTAGCGAGTCCACTAGCAGTAGCTGTTGAATGTCTGGAGATTTGCAAAGTGAATTTTGAAGATTCATCGCACTGGCCAAGTGAGTTTGTGTGAATAACTACACTCGGTTCCTGTGTGTATATTATTGCCTGAGGTTCCCGAGTTTTTGCAAGAGATGCCCCTTTACCCGATTTAGTATAAGATTAGGACGTCGAAAGTTGCAATGTGAAATTGACTAGCTGGTTTTAGAATAATAGGAATGGTGTTTGGCTAACTTGAATAGTTGCCAATGGTCACAGTGTGAGAGGTTGAGGATGTAGGAGGTTTGATACTGGTATCAGGAAGTGAAAGTCGAAGGAAGAGACTAAGATAAGGAGGACAGGTAGTTGTCAGTCGAGTTTAGCTTACTACGGGAAGTGTGCCTGTAGTTAACACTTCTCGGCTGCCCACTCCGTGGAAGTTGCTTTTGTAGGATACGTGAAAGTGAAAATGCTGTGACCATAGACTTCATAGGACATCACACAACATTTTTAAGATTGTTAGTTTGAAATCTGTGTGTCCTAACGCCGGATAAAAAAATACCTGATGTTGGTACCGGAACACTGTAGGGTCAAATAGGCGGACAAAATCAACATTGGATCTGACATAAATGCGTTACGATTCAAGTTACCACACCTTATATCAACACATGGAGCAAGGATCCACTAAGGTGAAAGACAAAGAGGAAAACAGTCAGAAGTGGTAGGAAGTCACCAAAATAGAGCTAGGAAGAAGGAGAGAATACTGCAAGTCAGCAGGACAATTAATATAACATGTATATACGTCTGCGTCACTGAGATCCATTCTAAGCCGTATAATAGAGTCTTCAACCACACGGGTTTCTGTTATCAGGTGGATCACAACCTCAAAGTATGCATTTCCTCACATGGCTCAGACCAACAGTAAAAGACTTCATGAACTTATGCATGTGTTAGTCTGGTCACCCCTAACCTTTTTCCAGCCTGAACATACTTCAGTTAACGTTATGTGATGAAGCAAACGTTGATTAGGCATGCGTAATGCATATCCCAGCCACCTAGGTCCGCAAAGGTTCACAACTTCACCATTCGACTTTCTTGTTCTTGGCATATTGCTGTTAAGTAAGGTAGATTGAACCGATGCACTTTTGTGTGAGATTTAACGTTGATTTACTCTTGTCTCTTCTTTAGATTTCAGAGCCGTGTATCAAATCTCTCATGCAACAGTCCAAAATTTTGTAGCTGATATTACACTATGATGAATTACGTTTTCAATTACATCATTAACTCTTCCACACGATTTTTTTCATTTCAGACTGACGAACCAGAGGTTATAGCATTTCTCCTTGGGTCGGAGATTATACCCCTTTGCCTAGTTATTATGGAATCAGGAAGTGAACTGAGCAAAACTGTGAGTTCTCTGCCATTCGAGTGCATTGTAGGAAACATAAGTGGATCCACTAATTTAGGTTTATCAGACGTAATTTTTAGATACGTTCTCCTATTATCGCCAGGTGGGCTGGAACAGCATATAGTGAAATCCAAATGCTGTCAGCAACCTTGGGCACATTCATCAAGTAGGAAATGAGCTACGCATATTGTGTGAGAGATGGTGATACTCTCTGACTGCCTATGTCTCAGTAAGTAGAGTGGTGTGTGAACACATGACTCATTTGTCTGAAGTAAACTCCCTTAACCAATGAGCCAAAGCTCCATGAACAGTATATACGCTAATAATTCAAAATTGAGTGAAGGAAGAAAAATCCCGTGTTATAAATAGTGGTAGCAACTTCCTTCTAGCTTCAAAAGCAACTTTTTTATTCTACTCTTGAACACTGTGATGATCACATAACCCTGTTGGTTAGTAGACTGTCTCCCCGGTGATTGTGATTACAACTACACAGCTTTGGTAATTGAAATCGTTGGTAAAAAAACGATTGAGTTATTTTGGATATCCCAAACTTCCTGTGTAGCTTTTAAATTCTTTTACACAATTGATAAAATAAGATTTGTTATCATGGAAAATGTTTATTATTCATCCTATATTAACTGTTTGAATAATTTTCCTTGGGAAAAAAATCGAAATGATTTATTCATCTCTATCGGCTCATTTTATCGCGTTGATGCATGATTTATGGATATATATATATATATATATATATATATATATATATATATATATATATATATATATAATTTTGTACATTAGAGGACCATTGTTTTCTATCTGATCTCGAAATTTTAACCTATAACGTATCGGTAAATAATTAAAGAATTATCATCTTGTTGTAAAGTATCTAGGGATTTTTGATGACTGCATGTTCGATCACTGTTGTCTCCCCAGGATTTATTGCATCCGACGGAAACACCACATAAGTAATTCTGAAGTGATTTGGCATGAGTTCGGGTGGAGTGGAGGTCATAATTCACTGAACGTGGTTATCTTGAAACATCGACATAGGTGGTTCTCAAATTTACTTCGCTTTTCCTCCCAGCAACTCCCACACCTTCTGTTCGCTTATTTAAGGACCATTTTGGAGAAGCAGAGAGGTTTCCAGTGTGTGACGTCGCTGTGGAATGGTGTTGTGTTGGGTTACTATCTGTAGGTACCTCATGACTCATACATGGGGTTCGAGAGGTCATACAACTCAGTAGCTTAAGAAGATAGTAGGCATAACTCACTATCGAAACTGGTGACAATCATGGTACAGTTTTCTTGTTCTTTCTCTCTTACTGAGAAGTATAAAAAAAGTAGTGAATGCTTCTTTGAAAGTATTTTTGAGACTGCCTCCTTACTAAACCACTTCTACTTTTGCTTCCACTCTCCTGTTTTACACGTCCTCATATTGCTGCTTTTATTGTTTTGTATGATTGATCTTTTGGTGCCCATGATGCACCAAGTTTGTTTCATGGCTACAACAATAAACGTTCTTGGTCTGAACCGTTTAGGAAAGTGTAGACCTCTCGGTTGAGGCCCACGCCACAACCGAAATCACTGGTTAGAGACTAGCTGTTATATCTAAGGGTCGATGTCATTGGCATAGATGTATGGACATTATTTTCATCTTGATCATCATGCCAAATTTCGTTTTCTTTTCATTCCTTCATTTCCCCTTTACATGACTTTCTATCTTTTTTATTTCCCTATCTTCCACCATTGGGCCTCCTACCTTGACGTGCGATATGAAATGTGGTAACTTGGACTGTTATCTATTAATGCTGGGTCTCATGTCGATACTGACTGACTAATACCGTAATTGGATGAGTGGAATCAAAATGTAGTCAGTTTGCTACATGAGATTTCATTACTGTAATACTCACTATTTTATTCTTCCATTTATTTTTTCGTGGATTGTTTTAAGTTTTACCACATATACGTTTTACTTCTCTGTTTGGAGTATTAAACAGGTTACTTGCCTATTCACAATCTGCTTTCGACTCTGTATGTGCATATCCATTTCTTATGCTATTCTTAAATCTAGGTAGCTACTTTTATAATGCAGAAACTCCTTTTGGATGAGGTAGGCTTAGCCTATATCTGTCAGACCTATGAACGTTTCGCACATGTAGCTACTGTCTTGGATAAAATGGTGATCCATTTAGCCAGAGAGCAGTCATTACGTCTTTTAAAACATGTGATCCGATGTTACTTACGTCTTTCAGACGACTCAAGGTAAGTCATTTCAATCTATCCAATAAAACTTGTGTGTTTATATAAAAGTATTTCTTCTTTTCTACCAAGTGTCTTTAATTCAGCGTTGTCTTTCTCCTCTTATTTTGAAACGCAAACCAACTATGATCAAAACATTAGGACACGTACTGGTATAATGTATACGTGGTTTATGCACACGAAAACCATAGTTATTAAAATGGAAACTGCTTTTTACTTTGTTATTATTGTCAGACTTCCTGTTTCGCGTATCATAAATTGCTGATTCCTACGTAGAGAGTTACACTACTGATCTAATTATTTACTACCCCTGGGAATTTACGTAACTCATCCTTTTTGCTTGTTTGTACGCTAGATTGTGAGCTGCACCTAACGTGTTAGTTCTATTGATGCTTATTAATTTTCTGATTAAATTAAACTGGATAGGTTGTGTGTTTTACGTATACCTATTGCTCCTGACAGTAGTATGAGCGGCACTCGTTTTACCATACATTTTAGAAGGCAGAACTATGTTATTTTTAAAAGTTGGGAATATAAAATAGGACTCCTACTAATTTTTTAACTTTACTTCATAGATGGTCTTGTATGTATGTGGTTTCTTCGAATTGGCGAATGCTAGTGAAGTCTTTGGGGTCTTCAGCTCTTCGTAACACATCATGAACTTACACAGTTTTGATGCAGATTCATGTCAGAGCAATCGGTTTACAGTTTTGATATAATGTAGAGTAGTAGTATGCTTCAATACTTTTCGAGCCACCTACTGTTCGCAAGCACTATCGACAGTATAGCTAGCTACCAGTGTAAACACTAAGAGGCGTTTAATTTGTATCTTTTAAGTTAGCTCTAAGTGTAAACGGGTTTAATGGCTAGTGTTTGCTGGCAACATGGCCAGCTGTTCAATAACATATGATTCTATCTGTTAAGTATTCTTATTGTGGTTAGGTCTAATCTGAATATTAAAAGCGGGATATAGATTCAGTTAGGTCAAAGAATCACAATGTGGTTTTACGATGTAGACACCCAAAAAGAGGTCTCTCAACTGCTCTTCTTTTGGCTGAGCTGTACAACTTGTACCTAGAAGCTGCACGTGGTTGGATAAAATAAATATGCTGTTTTACAGACATCTAGTTAGTACTGAATTTGTATATTGGGTACAGAGATATAAATAAGTGGGTCGAACAATTCCATCCGGTAAAACAACGGAGAATTACAAGTACGTCAACACAAAGTTATCAAGAGTTTAGGTCAAGTAAGTAACTCTGCATTAACTAAGATATTTAGGAAGTTTGTCCCACATACTGAGTCATTCTCTGACCCCAAGTACTATGTGGTTCAAAATAAGATTAGGTTTGAAGTAAGTTTAGTGTGATCAGATCAAGATATGTTACAAATGTTGATTGAAGAATCTCGTTTGCATAGTTCAAAGAGGATTCAATCCCCCAGATAAATTTATCTTGAGAGTTTTGAACATCTTCCTCCAACTAATTCCCTTCCCTTCTTACTAATTTTCTTACTGATAATCTTTAGTACCCCTTTTATAGTTTGTTTACTTTCACAAAATATAACAATTTGAATCAACATACCTTTTTGTACCTATCTGTCTGCTTCTCGAAGCAGATTTTAAAAATGTGTATTCGGCCAACTGCTTAGTACGTTGTCGATTGATGCTTTTGTATGTGTTACTTATGTTGTTCGAGATAACTTTTAAAATCCTTTTCGATTCTCTTTTCAAAGATTTTTCATATATGAACAGTGATATCGCATCTTAGTTTACACTTTACTGGTTACCGATATCGATCGGGTATTCATGGAACTATATCTTTCGATATTTTATTTTTGATATGACTCTACTTCAGCTTTGAAAACTTATTATTCTCTACCAAATTTCTTTATATGGTTCAATTATCAATTCCTTTAAATAAACTTCATTATAAATGCATTTGAGAATGAAAGTTGACGTTTTGGTGACATTTAGAGCAAAGTAAATTCTTATGATCACCAAACTCGAAGATTTCATGTTTAAAAATTCATTTTAAAATTTATGCACAGTAATTTGATTCATTCTACAATGCACCCTGGATTTAGTTAACACTCGTTTATCTACAGTTTGTATTTCATAACATGATGCATGCCCATTTTGCTTTCGTTCTTAGAGCTCGTGATGCACTTAGAACATGTCTACCACAACAACTTGTAGATGGTACATTCAATAGTTTACTAGAAAATGATGTAGCTACTAGACGATGGTTGACACAGCTGATTCGGCAGTTATCTGTTCGTGCAGTCGGGTCTGCAGTTACTACTAGTACTACTGCTCCGAGTGTCAGTTCGCTTGATCTTTCTACATTAAATACTACAAACAGTTCTCGGAATGGTTTTCTACCCAGTACAACTGTTTCTCCTTCTGTGACTAGTACAGCACCCTCTGTTAGCGTTTCTGGACCATCTGTCGTCACAAGTGGATCAGCAACTACGTCAGGAGTGCAAGCATCTACCTCAGTGTCTGGACAGCCTTCTTCAAATGTCGATCCAGCAACATCTTCAAGCAGCTGAAAACTACATATAGCTGTATAAATGAAATTACGATATCTAGTTTTGACATGTATATACAGTGATTTCTAACTTCATAGTCATCCGATATACTTATTCCCTCGTTGTTGGTTAAGCTACATGTCATATATGCCTTTTACTAACAGTAACGCTTAGCATTTGTTGAGTCTCTTCTACCTCAATGCTGAATATACTTTTTAACCACACTTATGCTAACTTGAGCGCTACCGTGTTCTATACTGATCAAGTTATATATATCAAGTATATTTTATGTTTTACAGAAATAACTGTAAAAAGATTTATTTTTTCCTCACAGCATATTTCGCAGTTGGTACTGTCAAGTGTCGAAATTCCAGTGGATGATTTATGGTAGAAGCATTGGCAATTGAGTTGGGTCGCCATATTGTTTTAGATACTCTGCTTGACGTTTTCGTGCTTTTGTTTGGTCTTGTTAATTCTGTCAGCTCTAGGTTTGATTGATATTGAAAGGACTCCATGAGATCCACTTCATTTTCACTTAGTTCCTCCACATTGAAACACTGAAATACGTATTTCTGACAATGATACCGTCCAACACATCTGTAATAGTTATAAACGATACATACTGAGTACTGTCATGTATGTGTACGCAGGGATGACTAATCATTCATTAGAAGTTATGATCTGTACTTATAAAGAACAGGTACGGAGACATTCTTGTCAAACATCGTACAGTTACCTAGAGAACTTCTAACATGTTTCACACTGATGTAAGCACTGACTGACTGATAAAACTGACATAGATACTCGCACAGAGGTGCATCGGCTAAAGTTGCCACACTCCACAGACTCATGCAAAAGTCAGGTGGATAGAAAAAGTTTGATATCGAAGTAGATGAAGTTATGTGACAGAACAAACGATTTGAAACGGTGCAAATACCCATGCTCTAGAATACGTCAAGAAGTGAATATATCTGCGCCATTGTGACCGATTTTCAGCCATGTCACCGAGAGTCATCAACCACTGGTTTCTTTCGTCGCGGCAACCCCAACCAGTCTACATCTCACCACACGGTCCAGGCCAGCAGTCAGGCACTTCACCCACTGTCGCCACGTCTCTTTCTGTGCACCTTGAACCGTCTTTCAATCTAATCCGACTTCCCCTAGCAACCCACGTCGAGGTAGGTGGTGGCTAGGCATACGCACTACATTTTCAAGCCATCGCAGTCAACCAAGGTTTACAGTCTCGTCGACTGCCTTGCATTTTTTGCCTAGTATCCTTCTGACTTCAACATTGCTTAAGCGGTGATACCACCACTTGGGGGAAGTGCTACGAAGACACCTATGATCAAAACCCTGCAACCGCTTTATGTCTTCAGCCGTACAACAGGGCGAAATGTATCTCAGCGCAGAATACCCATCCTTTGATAGGTAGTCGCATATCTCGCCAGGGCCACAGGTGACACAAGCTGGCAAATGCAAGACGAGCTTTCTGTATCCGAGCTTAGATTTCGTCGGCAACCAGCCCGTCTGAAGCGCTGATGCAATTCCCCAAGTAAGTGAAGTGGTCGACACTCCCTATCATTAAGCTGGGAGTAGTTGCAGACCAGTAGCATCATCTTACATTTGACAGGAGCGGTACGCATACCGAACATACTCAGATTTCTGCTCTACAAGACCTTGCATTTTGTCATCATCACCCAGCAGGACAATATCGTCTACATACTCCAAGTCAACCAGATGACTTCCAGGCAGTAGATTAATCCCTGTGTGATCAGATTTACTGAAGGTTATGTCAATTAGTAGGTCTTTGACGAAGCTAAATAAGAACTGTGACGATAAGTATCGATGACGTACACTAGCTGTCGTTAGTCCAGGCTTCTATATTGTCGTATTATGGTGCTTGAATGTCGTCGTGACGTCTATAATGCGCTGCTGTAGTTTGTACTTAAAAAACCCAACGATAAACCTTTTATCGTGTCGGAAGGAAACGTTTTCAAAAAGTGGTATTACAGATGTCAATTTACCGAATTCGAATGTATATTTGAATAATACATATAATAAGAAGTCATGTGAGTAGTGTCTCGGCACTTAGGTCCGCATGCCATTCTGCTCAGGGAAATAGAATTTGTATTTTTTGGCTTAGCGTACTTTTCTGTTCCCGGAAGTGGACATTTGTATATGCGATTTTCATGCAACTAAGTGGGTTTTTCCTGAGACTAGAACTTTACCGGCACCTACTTCATTTAATCTTCGGAAGACGGTGTTTCAAGTGTACTCTGTTTAGTAGCAACCTATTAATTGCAAACATACTTAAGAAGACGTACGTCTCAGTCCTATGTGTGAACTAGCTTTTTCATGTTATCAAGAATCAGTAGGTAGGAAAATAATGAACTTAAAACATACCTGTATGTATTACCAACCATAATATTTGGCAGTATCTCATCAAAGTCATATAATGCACAGTTTACTGTTTGTTTGTGGCCGTTTTCTTGTAAAACGAAAGACAGACCAGGTATATTCGAGAATGGTTCACTTTTTGATACACAACGACCGTATATTTCATAAAGCACGGGGCAGTTCATATTCTTGGAGAGGTAAGTACATGTCCCTCGAATTCTTCTGATTTGTGTGGAGATAATTCGTAAGCTGCTGTCGTTCTGTTTGTGGTAGGGAGGAAGTGTTTCTTCAAAACCTATGATTTCGTGTTTTGAATATGGGTAGGATGGCATACTTAGCTTGTGCTGACTGTTTTTAGTAAGTGCGTAAGGAGGTGATTGACTGTAAAACGTACTGTTTGACGGAATACTGCATTGTACTTGTATCGGATTTTCGCAGTGGATGTCTGTAAGTCCACCTAATCTGCGGGAATACTTGGCAAAAGTATTTGGCTGTCTTGACTCAACCATGACCTCCTAAATAAAACGTGAGCAGTTAAAAGTGTGGTTCCCGATTTAGTTTCTGGGACTTTGTAGGAAGATTAAGGTATTGTGAAAAGGCAAGTGCCTGTATGCATACAAATCTTTCCCTCCTTTCGGTTACCGAATTTCTGCAGATTTCCTACTCTGTATAGTAATTTGGTAGGATTCTGATTGCAGTGGTGCACTAGGAGTTAGGTGGCGAGTATTTCGACGACTGACTAAATTGTCTCGCTGCAGCACGGCGCGGTAACGAACATTCGCTTTCCAAATTCCGCCATCCAATATCCTTTGAACAAATGTAGCGCAAGTAGAAGGTAACATGGTTTCTCATGTTTCACTTCCCATCCCTGAGGCTAAGTTTGGTTTCATGAGTTGTAATTCCTCTGTCGATTGTTAACCTATTCTACATTACGCTTAATGGAGTGAGGAATATTAAATTCTACTTTGCTGACTAAGAAGTGGGGAACAAAATGTTAACTCGGTCGTACTGTTAGTCTTGAATATGTGATGTAAGGCTGCTATCTGAACAAGACGTTTTTCTTGGCAGATAGCTGCGAATACCTAGTTGTAGGAGACTTCATTTCATTATCAGTAAATTGGAATATTCCACCAAGAGGGGCATGAAGCGGTCAATCTGTCACAGGTGATCGAAGTATTGATTCCATTGGCTCGTATACACTCCATCACTGCAGCAACTTAGTGTGATTACCAGTTCACGTCGCCAATTCTAAACCTGGTATTCTGTCATAGAGTGAAGTTGAGCTTTCATTCGACACCTCTCACTAGTTGGTAAAGGTGGTCTTCAGGATTGCGGTAGCGGTGGTGTCATACCAATACCCCCACTCAATCCAGTGGGTGTATCGCTTAATTTGCCAACTACGAATATTCTTCGAAATCCGTCTCACCCAGGTTGCTAAAGAACGCCCGAAAGGGCTGTTTCCTTCTACGGACAGGGTCAGGAAACCTGCCAGAGTATCCGAGCCTTAGCCAAAAAAACAAACTATCTATGCAAAGCAACGGCCCTGACCAGATATTTTGGCGAGGTCTTTTTACAGGGACCCTCTGAAGAATGAAAGGTAAAAACTAGGACCGTTGACGTGAACGTTGATCGCAGTGACGTACCTATAGCCATAAGTTTTCTGGGGAATCAAAAGTCGGCGGAACTGCACAAGTTACACTCAAGGTTTCTCAAGCACCTGGCACCCTACAGAGTCGGTAGGCCTAACTAGCACTGTGGTTAAAACTACGGAGAGCATTAAAGTCAGCCACCGTGTTTCCTCTAAAAAGGGGCCCTTATCGTCTCCACAACATGGGTGTCACGGAAGTCTCCCATATCCAGCAGTCATTCTTAAAGAGAAACTTAGAACGGGTCTAAGGGTGGCAAAAGACGTCACTTTGATAGGCTTTGATGAGACGTGCTTCACTCCTGGTCGCTTGTGAAATTGCGAAGCCTCAGAAGCAGTGGTAAACAAGGTATATGGACGAAAGAATAACTTGTTGGGTAGGGATTTAAAGAACGTACCTATTCTTAACTTACTCTTGAATGCTGGTGTGCAGTGGAGTGTTGAACGTCACCGTCCTGGATCACCTGCCACTTTTCCTATGCACAGCCCAGCTATCGAGTGTCGTGAAACTTCCACAGCTGTCTATGCAGATGCTAGGGAAGTTTGGTGTGGATTGGCGTTTGACAACAGTTTGCACAAATTTCAGGCAAACATAATAAGTTCGTTATTCGGGTCACATAGCGAATGTTCGCCAGAGTAGGTAGGTATGTGAGCACATGCAGTCGGTCCGCAGACCACTGTGTCCATGGCATTTTTGGGGCTCCTCTACCATCACGCGGTCAACTAGGAGTTGTAGTGCATCACGAAAAACATCACAATGCTCTTTCCCTTGATCGCCAATGAGAATTTTAGGAAACTGGGCAATGCAAAGATCATATATGTTATATTCACCACTCCATATGCACCCCAAATAGATCAGACATAGAAAAGTGTACATGAGCTCCCAGTCCTCGCTTTATAGGTTACTTAGAATTTGTGGGGTGGGTTGAGAAGCTAGTGTAATAGGAAAGTACAGAAACCAACGTCATCTCCGTAAGGCAGCGTTTCTACTGCGCTGACCAATCGACTCTTGTGATCGGTTCAAAGAAGATTTAGGTTCGTGTCAGAAGGGCGTATGATCACAGAGATGTGCTTCAGCAGGGTCGACATGGGCTAGTGGTCTTATCTGCTGGAACCATAAATCAGCGTTTCGGTCTGTGAGCAAATAAATATTTTTTCTCCCATTAGTAATTAAACATGGGAGAAGCTAGTTCACAGGCATCATTGCATTGACATAACTTTAAAAATCTGCAAGATTTTAACGGTCCTGAACAGTACAGAAAGGAGGTCCCTAAGCCATATCAAAACGTCAGAAGATCGTGCTAGTTATGACAGAGACAAGAAAATACCACTTTTCGGTGTATGCATGGTGTTAGGGTGAAGATAATAATAATTCTTAATCTCATTTAATGGATTTAAAGTGAGAGATACTAGTTTATAAGCACCAACAAACTGATAATTCTTAAAAGTTTACAATATAGCATTTGGTATTATGTACTTCACATATCAAGTCACTGACGTGCCTAACCTCAATAAAACTTGCCGCAGTTCATGTGATAGACATGGATTTTCATCTCCAGCCACATAGGTAGGTTTCAGCATTGGGAACAGAGGCACGCATTGTTAGGAGTTTGCGTTATAACGAGCCGACTTTGGCATCCCATTCGCACAGTTTATCATTTAGTAATATAACCGTCTATTTCTTATAAGGTTCCTCAGTTTTTAGCTTTCCTAACCACAAAGGTCCGTGTACACGATCTGGAGTATCCACAGCTATCTAACAGAGGTGAGTGTCTAAATCAATGCGTTCCCAGTTAACCTTCCTACATTAAGAGTTAATACAGATTAATTCCATCTGGAATACTAGTAGTAGTGGATGGAAATAGAAGCTGAAATGGTTAATAGTCCAAATGGCAGTGCTTAAACGCAGACTTTGGGTGCCTTTCCTGTTGGCAAAAGCAGGATTATTCGAGAGGTGCACTACATGCATGACAACGTTTGTTTACAAAATTTACTCTATACAGAGCACTAGAAAGCGTGTAGCGTGAAGCCACTGCAGGTAAGCCACGTTCCAAGCCAATGGTTAAATTTGCCTCTGGTTTGATCATTTGTCCGATCGCCAAAGAAACTTCAAAGCACAAAGAAAATATAAAAAGTAAAAATAAACTTATTCCTTGCTGAAATCGGAGAGACGAAATGACGCCAGTTGGTGAAAGCATTCGCGAAGCCAATTGGCCGATATGTCTTCTCTCCCTCCATTCAAGCGAAACTAAGAATGAGGACATGGAATGTCCACACCATGTTTGAAGCTGGCTGAAAGGGCTGCCCAGTGTGCCAAAGAGATGAGAAGGTATGGCATGGAAGTACTAGGAATCTGTGAGGAATCTGCAGATGGAATGGAAGTGGACTCTCCAAACTGTCAACTGGGGAGGAGAGTCAATAATCTACCCGGTTTCTGTCACCTAGATGACAACCATGACCACACTGAGCTACGGAGTGGCTATCATGATGTCAGCAGGAGAATCGAGTGCTCTCATGCAATGGGAACCAGTCTCCTACTCCTCCTCCACGATCATGATAGCAAGATGGATCCAACTCAAAAGCAAAGAAAGTCACAATCATACAATGGCACGCTACGCTACACACCTACAAATGATGCAGACGCAGAACAAGAGAAGAAGGAGGGATTCTACAGACAGCAACAATCAGTACTGGACGGACGAGACCCCACTCCCAGTTGGAGACATCGAAATTCTAATGGGTGAGGTGACATGAATGCGAAACCGCAGGGAGTGGACAAGACAGGAAGAGAAGTGATCATGGGTGGAGAAGCACTCAGTGAAATGATGAGTGAGGATGGAGAACTGTTCCCAGACATCTGTGCATTCAACCATTTGGTGATTGGAGGTACTATGTACAAGCACAGTGACAATCACAAAGTGGCATGGATTTCACCAGACACCAGGACACACTAAAAATCAGATCGACGTCACCTCAATGTGAAGAAAGTGGAGATGGAGACGCAGTCTACTGGACACAAGGTCAGCTGAAGAAGAGGAGCAGATGCAGGTAGTTCACACCACTCACTATGTAATGCAAGGGACCTGCCTTCAAAATCAAGTTGAAAGTCTTCGAGGAAGTTGGTGACAAACCACAGTTCACGCTGAACACCTAGAACGGAAACTGAAGGATGAAACTTCAACTGACATCTTCACGTTGGTCATCAGGACAAAAGGGAGATGTTGAAAAACATCCGCGAAGGAAGCTGTGAGGAATAACACTGGATCATTTTGAAAGAGACGTGGAAGTAGCCCGAATAACCGTATTAGAAAGGAATAAGAAACAAGACATGGAATGGATCTTCACACACACGTCGAATCTGGCGGAGACGGAGAGGAAGATGGTGATTGTGAAACAGAAGAAGAACCAGTCCAGCACAGTGCATGGATGAACAACGAAGAGGGACTGAACCCGACCTACAAAAATCCAACACTGGACAAGGAAGTGAAGAAGAGTGGACGGAAAGACAAAAGATATTTCTACGACACGTTGGCAAGTGAAGCAGTACAGGCTGCTGGTAGGAAGGACTGACAACACTATGTCCAATGACCAGGTTACCATCTATGAAGCGATGAGCACAGATGAAACCAATGAAAGATGGTGAAGGATGCCTCGTTACTAAAGAGGAGGACCAAAGGAAGCAACATGCCGACCACTCCAAAGAACTCTTCAATCGGCCGCCACCACAACCTGTAGCTGCAGAGTTACCAGTTAACACAAGCCATCTGAC